ACCTGAGAACTAGGGACAGTCGCTGGTGATGTCATGGGGGAAGTCCCTGGAGACAGATTAATTGGGAGAGGGGAGCAGAGGGGGACTAGCCCCCATCCTGAGTGCTTACACTATAATTTGCAGCCAGCTCCTGCCAGGCTGCAGCTTGTAAGTTGCATACAGTCATTATTATTACAGTGGTGCCCCGCAAGACGAATGCCTCGCAAGACGAAAAGCCCGCAAGACGAAAGGGTTTTCCGTTGCGGAGGCGCTTCGCAAGATGAAGTTCCCTTTGGGCTTGCTTCGCAAGACGAAAATGTCTTGCGAGTCTCACCATTTCCCCCCCCGCTTCCCCCCCCTTTTTCAAAGCCGCTAAGCTGTTAATAGCCTTTTAACAGCTTAACCGCTAAGCCCGCTAAGCCGCTAATAGCGCTAAATCGCTAATAGCGCTAATCCGCTTAGCCGCCAATGGGGTTGCTTCGCAAGACAAAAAAACTGCGAGACGAAGAGAATCACGGAACAGATTCTTTTCATCTTGCGAGGCACCACTGTATTATTATTACAGTGGACACTTGGGTTGCGAACGTGATCCGTGCGGGATGCATGTTTGCAACCCACAGCGTTCGCAACCCACGTCTGTGCATGCGCGGGTTGCAATTCGGCGCTTCTGCGTATGCGCAAAGCACGATTTAGCGCTTCTGTGCATGTGCGACTGCCAAAACCTGGAAGTAACGCGTTCTGGTACTTCCGGGTTTCGGCGGTCCGTAACCCGAAAAAATGCAACCTGAAGCGTCTGTAACCCTAGGTATGACTGTATTATTGTTATTATTGGATTCCCACCTGGGAATCCAAGCCCTCCTCCTGCCACCTGGAGGGGACCAGGCAAACCTGGAGACTAAGTCAGCCATGGAGGTCTGGCAACCCTATTTAGTATCCAGTTCTCACAGTAGCCAACCAGAATATCTATGGCATGAATGGAGCAGCCCTTCTCTCACTTGTGAGTTTTGCTTTGGGAACCTTGATAGCCTGGAGAAGTTTATCATGCTGCAAAAGTTGCAGCTTTTCGTGCTGCAAAACCAAAAAGTCCCCCAATTCTGAGTTCAAAGGGCAGTGTGCAGAACTAGTGTATTGTCTCACCCACCCACCCCCACAAGAAGCAGGAGGGTTATTAATACAAGGTCTAACCGTCTAGATGCTTTCAGGCTGTGACCTTTGGTTGTTCTATAAATATGACCCTGCAAGAATGTATATAATAACAAGATGGAAACAGCTTCAATTGTTGTTTTGAAAGATTGTGCCAGCAAAGAATATTTGCCATATCATGTCCCTTTCAGGAGGTCAGCTGCCGGATTGTTATTGGGAACTGGCCTTGGGTTTTTTTTAAGTAAGGTTCCGGATAAGCCTAGGAGGTTACAGGGCAATTACTCTAGTCCCCCCCTCCTGCCAACCCAATAATTGGCCAAGTCAGATGCAGGACTGAAAACTAGCTGCAACTTTATTGACAGACAGACATCCCCCCCGGGGGGGGGGTGCTGGCGGGCTGGCATAATGTTGAATTTGGATCTGTTGACCAAAAGGATTTCCAGCCCAAAGTCTGGCCATCCCAATTCCTCCACAAGAGTAAAGAAGTGGCAGGTCCTTTTAAAGGTTCTGCCATCCTGCCCATTTGCAAGCTGTGAAAGATGCTTGAGCCCCAAGATCTTGAGAAGTCTCCTCTTTTGCTGTGGCGTCTACCACACTGCCCTGCAAACCAACCTGACAGCTTAGCTGGGCCAAGAGTTAATGCAAGAACACAAGAGTCAGAGAGGAAGGTTGTAGTGAAGAAGCTACCAGGTTTAAGAACAGAAGCTTTCGAGCACATGAGCGTAATTTATGGGAACTGGCATTCAGAAGCATTGCTGCCCTCCTGCTGTGGAGGGCCGAGCAAAGCCATCCTGGCTAGTAGCCATCCATAGGCCTCTCCTCCTCCATGAATTTGTCTAACCAACTTTGCCTTTCTGAGAGGGCATGTGAATGGATTGGTTAATATAAATATTTATATGCATCAATAATAATAATAATAATATTTTTATTTATACCGCCGCCCTCCCCAGCCAAAGGTGGGCTCAGGGCGGCTAACAACCAATAATAAAAATTGATTTGAATGAATACAAACTTAAAAACAAGATTAAAATAACAACATTAAAACAATTAAAATGCAGCCTCATCACAGGAGGAGAAAGGAAAAAGAAAGAGGGGAAGGGAATCAAATTGACTCCAAGCCAAAGGCCAGGAGGAACAACTCTGTCTTACATGCCCTGCGGAAGAAATCAGATCCAACTTGCCTTTCTGAGAGGGCATGTGAATGGATTGGTTAATATTAAACCATTTTATATGCATCAATAATATAATAATAATAATTTTTATTTATACCCCGCCCTCCCCAGCCAAAGGTGGGCTCAGGGCGGCTAACAACCAATAATAAAAATGATTTTGAATGAATACAACTTAAAAACAAGATTAAAATACAACATTAAAACAATTAAAATGCAGCCTCATCACAGGAGGAGAAAGAAAAAGAAAGAGGGGAAGGGAATCAAATTGACTCCAAGCCAAAGGCCAGGAGGAACAACTCTGTCTTACATGCCCTGCGGAAAGAAATCAGATCCAGCAGGGCCCTGGTCTCACGAGACAGAGCGTTCCACCAGGCCGGAGCCAGAGTTGAAAAGGCCCTGGCTCTGGTTGAAGCTAATCTAACTTCCTTAGGGCCCGGGACCACTAGGGTGTTGCTATCTATGGACCTTGAGGCTCTCTGTGGGGCATACTGGGAGAGGCAGTCCCGTAGGTACGAGGGTCCTAGGCCGTGAATGGCTTTAAAGGTCAAAAGCAGCACCTTAAATCTGACCCTGTACTCCACCGGGAGCCAGTGCAGCTGGAAAAGCACTGGGTGAATATGCTGCCATGGCAGAGACCCCGTGAGGAGCCTCGCTGCAGCATTCGGCACCCTCTGGAGTTTCTGGGTCAGCTTCAAGGGCAGCCGTGAGTAGAGCGAATTACAGTAGTCAAGCCTGGAGATGACCTTCGCATGGATCACTGTGGCCAGGTCGGGGCGGGAAAGGTAAGGGACCAACTGCTTGATGCGGCGAAGGTGGACAAATGTCGCCTTGGCTGTTGCTGTAACCTGCGCCTCCATAGCATTTCTGTCAGAGAAAGTATAGGTCTATTCTATTTTAAGGGTTCCCAAAATTAAGAAAAGCTCTCAGGTTGGATGTGTTGATATACAAAGCGCTAAACAACCTTGGCCCAGTGTACCTTAAAGACCACCTGAGCCTTTATATCCCAGTTAGTCAGAGCTTATCTGGAAGAGGACTGTTACTTGTCCCCACACCAGGGTTACTGAGGCCCAACTGGCCCCAACTAGAAGTTGGGCATTTGGTGTCACCAGAGATTTGGAAGACATCCTCAATGTTGACTTTCAGGCATCTCTTGGATGCCTGACAACAGGACTTTGTAGCTGCTTAATTTTTCAATTTTTTATTAGCTACTCACTTTGTTTTTAATGGTGTTTTTTGCTTTAATGCTGCACACTGTGCTGATATTTTCTGTTCACCCACCATGAAGGATTGCCTGGGTGGCTGTTCACACCTCTGAAATACTACATAGGACAAAGGGTAGTACATAAATGTTTCTAAATAACAAAGGCCACATCTGCACCAGACAGTTAAAACACTTTAGACCATTTTAACAGTGGTATAAGAGAACATGGCTTCCTAGAAAGCATTCTGGAAGCTGTAGTTTGTTAAGGGTGCTGGGAGTTGTTATGAAGCCCCTATTTCCCTCCCAGAACTATAGTTCCCAGAGTGCTTTAACCGTCAATCCCTCTTCTCGGGAGATCTGGAAACTATAGTTCTTGCAGGGGGAGTAGGAGTCTTCTCACAACTCTTAGCACCCTGAGCAAACTACACTTCCCAGGATCATTGGGGGGAAGCCATGAGTGTTTAAAAGTGGTGTCATAAAGCTTTAAATGTGTGGGGCAGATGTGGCCTCTGAATGACATCAGCTGATCCAGGCTGCACCTATAAAAACCCACCATGATTCTCGCCCGCCCCTTCAACTCCCTTTCCGAACCTGACACTCAACAGGCCTGCTCCATTGTATCAGCAGAAGGCCTCAGACCTGACCGGGGGGACTATGATGCCCTCAGAGGTCACAGAACCATTTCACAAAGCAGAAAACATAGGCAGGCAGACATATATTCACAGCATGTCCTCACACTCCCCAGCCCCTAGTCTGCATCCTCTGTTTTTCTTCCCTGCTCCCCAACTACCTACCTACCGTATTTTTCGCTCTATAAGACACACCCAACCATAAGATGTACCTAGTTTTTAGAGGAGGAAAACAAGAAAAAAAATCTCTCCCTCTCTGCAGAGCGCCTCTTCAGCAAAGCGGGAGGAGAAATGGAAGGGGCTCCGTTTCTCCTCCCACTTCGTTGAAGTGGCGCTGCGCAGCTCTCCCTCTCTGCGCAGCCTGCATTTGCTCCATAAGACGCACACACATTTCCCCTTACTTTTTAGGAGGTAAAAGTGTGTCTTATGGAGCGAAAAATACAGTACTTTTCTTCAATTGCAGGGGTCGGCAAGGTTTACCTCACCTAAGCCGGTTCACTCCAATGGAGATCCCTCTGTGGGCCAGATCGCGCACTCACGACCGCGATTTCCAGCATCTGCGCAGACATGATTTCCGGTGTCTCTGCATAGACGCAATTTTCGGCATCTGAGCATGCGCAGACGCGATTTCTGGCACTACGGAAGTGAGTCCCCGCACCGTGCTGTGTCAGTTTAGCGCAACGCACAGGGACTTGCCGAGTAGGCGGCTCAGTTTGGGGGTGGCTTGGGGGCCAGTTAAGCGACTCCCGTGGGCCGCTTGTGGCCCATGGGCCTTAGGTTGCCTACCCCTGAATTAAGGCCACATCCATCCTGTGTGTTTAAAACATTATAATCCCACTAAAATTATCACTTAAATGTTTGCTGCCTTGGGCTCCATGGGGTGGATATAAATCATAACACTTAAAAATAAATCAATTAAATGTGTTCAGTTTCTATGAAACTGACAGGGCTTTTTGTGCTTGAATTTTTAGTTCTAAATTGCAGTTAAGGTGTCGAAGTCTCTCAGCCCATTTAGGGTTACCCTGAAACTTGCAAACTTAGCAAATATACATAAAATGTGAGCAGAAGGAGAGGATGCAAAAAAATGGAGAGGCGGGGGAAGAAGTGTGTGTTGGAAAAAAACATCGGATTTTAAAACAAAGTTCTTTCTAAAGGTCATGCAGAAATCGAGACATAACTATTACAAAGTTCTTCCAAATAAACCCTTGCGCCTGCAAACAAGTGCATTTTTTTCTTCCATTCATTGCAAAGGTGATGATACTGCTTTCCCTTGTTTTTTTATTATAATCAACCAGCTTACTCCAATAATGTCCTTGATGCATTCAGCCAGTTGGAAGATGCCCCTCCTTTCTTTTCCTTTTTGAACAGAAAAGGGGGACGAAGGTACCCTGGCAATGATATAAAAATCTGTGATACACTGATGCAGTTGTCCGGTTCGCAGGGAGCAGAGAGAGGGAAGTTTTGTTCACTGCACCCTTGAAGGATTCAGTTCCTTACTAGTTAGCACAGAGTGAGGAGCAGTCAGAGTAATTAGTCTCTGGCAATCATGGCCAAGGTAGCTTGGCTGTGGTTTCTGCTGCTTGCACCCAATATCCATGGAAAAGGTAAGCCCTTTCAGGATTAAATTTTAATATTTTTTAAATGAGATGCACAATACTTCGTTCTTCAGAACTCATAAGAGTAACAATCAGGGCTGCAATGTTTCATTTTTTAGATTAAAACTTTTTATGCTTTTAATGTATAGTTTCATGGCTTTATTGCTGTAAGCTGCTTTGATTTTTTTATGATGCAGAAATATGCTCAGGCTTTTTAAAATATAAATAAGCCAATAAGCTAAATAATGTGCCACACAATTAACCAGGTGGCAGACTTTTAAAAAATATTATCTTTAATACACAGAGATGAGTGAAGCTGCCACTTTTGCATTTCCATGTCAATTTGTAATTCCCCCCCCCTTAAAATCCACATGAAAATTAATCAGCATTTCAGTGAGAATTTCTCCTAATATATACATGTTTGTGTGCATTTATATACATTTCTGTGCACATCTTACCACAGCATATGCAGTTCTGTTTGCATTACTTGGATGGAGAACTGCAGGGTTCAGAGAAGTGTGGATTTAAAAGGATGGCTGTATTTTGATTAACATACTGTTTCAGAAAGTTAGGGAGGTTTGCCTTTAACTGAGGACTGAATCCGATCTCTCCGGCTTCTCTATTAATGCAACAACTCATTATAAAAGCAGCCTTGAGACATTTCTCTTTCCACTTTGGAATGTTTCTTCTTAACTGATGCTCCCGCTACGGCAACCGGGCAACCGGTGTCTCATCTACAAAGTTGTTGCTTGGGTTCAGAAGTAGGCATGGGTTGGAAGACAGTAAAGCCGCAGATTGTGTGTTGCAACTGAAATGTGTGATGCTGCTCTGTTGCATTGTTGTGAGGAAGAGGCAGAAAATTTCACTGTTTGCTTAATCACTGCTGGCTATATATTATGGCTTTGATTAAATTACACAAAACAAGAAAACTTCCAAAGAAGTTGTAGAACATTTTGTATGCTTTTTTTCTGTAAATCTGCCTATGCATTTAAGTGACTGCAATTAATCTGATGGTTTTATGCCACTCTACATTTGCTGTACCTTTAAAATTTTGCAAGGCTTTTCATCCTTTTCATTCTGTCCTCTCATTCACATTTACTACATAAGCCAAATGTCATTCTTTGATATGTTTAAGAAAGAAGTATGAAGTGTTTAGCATGTCGTGGGGGCTTGGACAGGTGGATGGAACAGGTGTGGTTTTCAAAATGTAGCAGATGCCGTAATCTTGCATAATCTTAGCTTCGTGCCATATTACTTATGATGTTGTTTTCTGGCATTGTTTTTTTAAGAAATGTATTTCTTAGTTGCTTTGAGCTCAACATTTGTTGCCGGAAAAGCAGAGTTTAAATATTAAAGTAATTACTTAGAATCAGAGGCAGTAGTGCTGTTGCACCCCAGGTCCTTCTTGTGGGCTTCCCATTGAGGCATTTAGCTGGGCATTATGATAATGTGACGCTGGACTAGATGGGCCCATGGCCTGATCCAGCTCTTGTTATGTACTTATGGTAAATAATCCTTGTGCAAGACCTCTGTATTTATTTAATTTTAAAAGGTAACTGAACCTCTTGTCTTGCGTCTTTGGTTTCATAAGTGTTCTGGTTGTTAGTTGCCTATTACCTTCTCAGAGAGATGGCTTCAGAGGTCAATTGGTGTCTCTTTATGCAAGGAGGTGTTCGTTATTAGCTCTTTATGCCTGTCTACAAGCCACAATGGCTATGTGCTAACTTCATTGTCAGAGGCAGATTCTGCTTGTGCGCCTCCTGCTTGTGAGCCTTGTGTGCAAAAGATGGCAGGTTCAGCCCTTAATAGGGCTCAGAAAGGCACCTGTATGGAAAAACCCCCAACCCCCAAACTTCTTTCAAGAGAGAGCTGCTTGCATGAGATATACAACCCAGGTTTTTTTTGGGGGGGGGGTTTACTGCTGTTTATGGTAAGCACTGTTAAGAAAATGCCTGGGAAGAGGGCACTTTGGTGATATTTTCTCTCTCTGACAGGGCTAGCATGAGTGTATTCAGGATTTATGTTGGGGGGGGCAAGCCTCAGTTAAGTATTTTTATTGATTTACTTGATTTGGGGGGGCAAGCTCCTTGGCCACGCTCATGTTGCGGGGGGCAAGCCTCAGTTAAGTATTTTTATTGATTTACTTGATTTGGGGGGGCAAGCTCCTTGGCTACGCTCATGTTGGGGGGGCAAGCCTCAGTTAAGTATTTTTATTGATTTACTTGATTTTGGGGGGCTGCCCTCTTGGCTACACTCATGTTGGGGGTGGAGCCTCAGTTAAGTATTTTTATTGATTTACTTGATTTGGGGGGGCAAGCTCCTTGGCTACGCTCATGTTGGGGGGGGGCAAGCCTCAGTTAAGTATTTTTATTGATTTACTTGATTTGGGGGGCAGCCCCCTTGGCTACGCTCATGTTGGGGGGGGCAAGCCTCAGTTAAGTATTTTTATTGATTTACCTGATTTGGGGGGGGCTGCCCTCTTGGCTACACTCATGTTGGGGGGCGAGCCTCAGTTAAGTATTTTTATTGATTTACCTGATTTGGGGGGGCTGCCCTCTTGGCTACGCTCATGTTGGGGGGGAAAGCCTCAGTTAAGTATTTTTATTGATTTACTTGATTTGGGGGGGCTGCCCTCTTGGCTACGCTCATGTTGGGGGGGGCAAGCCTCAGTTAAGTATTTTTATTGATTTACCTGATTTGGGGGGGCAAGCTCCTTGGCTACACTCATGTTGGGGGTGGAGCCTCAGTTAAGTATTTTTATTGATTTACTTGATTTGGGGGGCTGCCCTCTTGGCTACGCTCATGTTGGGGGGGGCAAGCCTCAGTTAAGTATTTTTATTGATTTACCTGATTTGGGGGGGCTGCCCTCTTGGCTACGCTCATGTTGGGGGTGGAGCCTCAATTAAGTATTTTTATTGATTTACTTGATTTGGGGGGCTGCCCTCTTGGCTACGCTCATGTTGGGAGGGGCAAGCCTCAGTTAAGTATTTTTATTGATTTACCTTGATTTGGGGGGCTGCCCTCTTGGCTACGCTCATGTTGGGGGGGGCAAGCCTCAGTTAAGTATTTTTATTGATTTACTTGATTTGGGGGGGCTGCCCTCTTGGCCACGCTCATGTTGGGGGTGGAGCCTCAGTTAAGTATTTTTATTGATTTACTTGATTTGGGGGGGCTGCCCTCTTGGCTACGCTCATGTTGGGGGTGGAGCCTCAGTTAAGTATTTTTATTGATTTACTTGATTGGGGGGGGCAGCCCCCTTGGCCACGCCCATGCAGGCTAATGCTCTGATCTGGTAGACAATATTGTTACTGGCCCCTCATCCTCCGAGCAGCGAGAGCCTCCAGGGGTTCTTGTGCTTACCCAGGTTTAGTTTCCTTGGAGTGAAACAGCCAGCGGAGACTGTGATGTCTTTAGGATATATAGGTTTATTTACACGTGTATTGACAGGTACAGCCTGAACAAAAGATGAAAGCACTTACCGCATTAATGCTACAGCAGATCTGGTATTAGGTTTCCAGAGAAGCCTCAAGTCACAGTTTGGGATCCAACACAGAACAACACATGTCTCTACGTCTCTATGTCTCTACGTCTGAGGCTTCCTAAATCAGCAACGGCTCACACACAGCCCCACAATAGGATGTTGTTCTTCATCCTAGGATGACAGTGGTATCCAGCAGAGGAAAAGGCCCACTCATTTGTCTCTGTGTGTTTAAATAAATAAACAAACAAATAAATAAAATTGATTTGCTGGACCAGATTCTTCAATTCACTTTAATTGCACAGGCCTAAATTTCTGGCAGGACACGGGTGGTGCTGTGGGTTAAACCACTGAGCCTAGGACTTGCTGATCAGAAGGTCGGCGGTTCGAATCCCCGCGACGGGGTGAGCTCCCGTTGCTCGGCCCTGCTCCTGCCAACCTAGCAGTTCAAAAGCACATCAAAGTGCAAGTAGATAAATACGTACCGCTCTGGCGGGAAGGTAAATGGCGTTTCCGTGTGCTGTTCTGGTTCTCCAGAAGCAACTTAGTCATGCTGGCTACATGACCCGGAAGCTGTACGCCGGCTCCCTCTGCCAATAAAGCGAGATGAGCGCCGCAACCCCAGAGTCGGCCACGACTGGACCTAATGGTCAGGGGTCCCTTTACTTTTACAAATTTCTGGCATATCAATCAATCGATCCTGTGAAATAATATAATAACCTTCTGTTTATCTTGCTGCTCCCCCAGTTGTTCTGGATTTGACTGGCCCACATGAGACCCATGGCACTTGGAGGGCTTCGGTCACTTTGCCATGTTTGTATGACCCATCTCCTGACTTCCTGGAACAAAGTGTTGTTTGGAGGCAGCGGGATCATCACAATAGAGCCATCTTTCACCGGGATAATGAATCAGGGGACCAAACACCTGTGGCACATTTCAGAGACCGACTCACCGTTCCTAAGCAACCCCTGGGAGATGTCTCCCTCCTGATCCACGATCTCGACATGGCAGATAGAGGGCGATATGCCTGTGAAGTTACCTTCCTGACCAAAAACAATACCAGGGTAACAATATCAAGGATCATCATACTGAAGGTTAAAAAAGGTAACCTGCATTAATATGCTGAGAAGGCATCATGGTTAAAAATGCAATATATATGTGTGTATATATATATATTTAAGTTGCATAGTATCATTTTCTATTTTGTTTATTCAGAGAATGTGTGGTTTGCTTTTTATTAAAGATTCTGAAGCAGGATTTTAAAAATGTGAAGAAAGAAGAAAATATAGCTTTGCTTTCACCATTCAGGTGCTCAGCTGCTTCTTTGCAAGGTGCCTTGGTGACAGATGGGACTGACTTTAAAAGAGGACAAGGCAAATTTAGGGGGGAGAGGGCTATCAATGGCTACTAGCTACAATGCTCAGCTCTGCCTTCTCAGTTGAAGGCAGCAATGCTCCTTTCTGATAACCAGTTGCTGGAAACCACAGGAGGGGAGAGTACTGTTGTGCTTGGACCCTACTTGCAGCTTTCTCAGAAGAGGCATCTGTTTGGCCACTGCGAGAACAGGATGCTGGACTAGATGGGCCTAATCCAGAAGGGCTCTTCTTATGCTCTAAATGGAGAGAGGGGACAGGTCCCCAAGCTTTTTATCAATTGTGAAAAGAGGTAGAACCTTGAGGATCACATTCTCCTTGAACCTTACAATTCCAAAGTATCTTCAGTCATCTTCCTTTACTTTCCTCGCATTCTATGTCTGCTTGAGCTGTGCAAGCACCAAATTTGCTGCAGGTGCTTGATAAGTATCGTTTTGCTCCCCAGTTCCAGTGGCCAAGCCTGTCATTAAGGCCACCAACAATGATGAGACCAGCTTGCCTGGCGTGATGAGGTTCAACCTGTCGTGCTTGACCAGCGGCTCTCCGCCCATCACTTACCGCTGGTTCAAACAAGTGGAAGGAAGCAATGCAACCCTTGTGGGCAAGGAAGCCGTACTTACCTTTGACCGGCTGGAGGCATCGGATGCTGGCAGATACTACTGTGAAGTTGAAAACAGGGTCAGCAAGCAGATCCAGCAGAGTAGAGCTATTCGGATAAACGTGCAAAGTAAGAGCATCCAACAACCTCTGCTATGCAAAGATCCACAATGTAGATCCAGAGTGATTTAGTTTTAGGAAACCCAATTCATTCATTTATTCAAATAATAATAATATTTAATTAAAAATGCAGTAAAATGGCTACATACAAATTCAAGAAAACCAGAATACAGCACAAAGCAATACGTAGTGTAACAATAGCCTCTCCAAAGCAGCTAACCCCCCCCCCCAATTTATAACAATCAGTTTTGTCCAGGCTTGGCCTCTGTGTTAAGAGCTCCAGTATCTGAAATTCTTTGCATGAAATAGATAGATTTTATTCTATTTTATTTGACAAATTTATAAACTACATTTTAAAAACATACCAGAGCAGTGTACAATAATCAAAACCACAGTACACAATAAAACAATGTGTTCTGCTCCCTAGTTTCCCTTAGGCATTTGGCTGGCCACTGTGAAAACAGGATGCTGACCTAGATGGGCCATTGGCCTGATTCAGCAGACTCTTCTTACGTTCTTACTTTCTTAACATAAAATTCAGTTCAGAAAGATCAATAAGGCAGAAGGCTGCAATCCTGTATCTAAAAAACAAAGGACAAGTGTGAATTGGGAGCATTCCTGCTTTTGCTTGCAGGTTCTGCAGTGCCATCTACTATGGGGCCTAGCACTGAGTTCGCAATGAGCACCACAGCTGTGGCAGGTAAGCTGTCGCCAAATGATAGGCTGTTCAGTTTTGAGTTGTGGGTGGGAAATGCATGGGTGATTGTGGTGGGGTCGCCTGCCCCTCTGCCTTGTCTTCAATGGCTACAGCAGGCAGCCTTTGGGGAATGCCCCCCGTTGCCCTGCTCCTGCTTTTTTCCACTGTTCCCCCCCCCCCCGTTGAAGGCATCCTCTAGTTGTCCACGTGGTCGTGGATGGAGGGGAAATAGAAATTAAGGACTCCTTCACCCTGCCGCCTCAAAAGGTGCCCCTGTAAACTCAACTCGTCTCTAGTTGTGTATCAAGTGTGAGGAGGCAGAGGCCCAATCTAGACAGCAAAGGAGTGTGCGGATGAGGGGTGCCAAAACCTTCCCAGTGCCTTGCAATGCCACACCACAGCACTTTCCAGGGCATTGTTTTCTCCCAGCTGAGTCCTGCCGAGAGAACAGTGGCCCTGGGGGGACAAGAGTGCATATGGGGAAGGCACAGTATGGGGACTTGCAACTTGACATATCTCTAATATTCTCACAGGTGCCACAAGCACAACTTGGATGGCGTTCGGAGGAAGAACTACATCTGGCAGCTTCAACTCAAGAGAGCTCACCATGGCAAAACGTGAGGAACATTAGTGTGGCCTTCCTGTTGTTTTAGACTGCTGGAGGAGGACAACCTGAATTCCCTGGGAGGCGAGGGGAATGTGCAATGCGGCAACTCTTTAGGTTTACTGGGAAAGCTCTGGGGTTCACTGCAAAAAATTCTCTGCTCAGGGGCCTTTCCAGGCAATGTCAGAATCCTTCTCAATGACTCTAGTCACCCTTTCCTTCTCTCTGAGTGCCAAGCACCCAGAAGTCTGCTTCTGTCCCTAAGGCTCCTTCGCAAGCTAGGAGACCGGGTTGGCAGTGGGGTCTTGGCTACTCCCCCTGGGTTGGCCCTTGAGCACAGATGTACTGATAAAGTAGCTGGATACCGCCCCTGGTTGCAAGTGACAGGTAAAGTTTACCTCATTACAGGGGCTAGCATTTTCAGCTCCAAAAACTAGCCAAGCTGTACAGTACTGTGGGGCTTTCACTGCCTCTTTAGGACTCGTCTTGAGGAAGAGGATACTCTCACTAGCAGCCAGGAATGTATTTCTGCACCCACAGAAGCACAAGCGTCATTTCCTCCAGAGCAGACACACTGACATGGGTCGACCTGAATTAGTCCTGTTCATGCCTTTCAGTGAGTCTTCTCTGAATAGGGCTAACATGGAATACAAATGTACTAGTAACTGGTGTATCCCGGCTCAAAGATGTGTTCCAAAAAAGATCAGCTTCCTAAGTGGCCTACATATACCTTGACTGCTGGTGGGAGTTCCCAGTTTTGAGGAACATTTGTGCACTGTCATTTCCAGAGGGAGAGGGAGAATTTACATTTTTATTTCATTTAGGGCTCATCCAGACTTAACTTTCGCCCTGCACTTTCTAGGCACAGGTCCATGGTTTCCTGGTTTGTGTTTGAACATGTGGGGGGGGGTTGTTTTTGGTGCCCCACCGCTTTCCACAGGAAAACCCGATATTTACTGCTGAATTGGAGCAAACAGCTATTCAGATTTCCTGCAGGTTGCTGTTTGCTCCAATTTGGTGGCAAAGAGCTGGTTTTCATGGAGAAAGTGCTGGGGCAAAAAGAAGAACAAGACCCTGTCCGACATGAGCCTGTTTCTAAAGGTCACCCCAGTTGACACGCCAGCAGAAGTACCCGACATCTCAACCCTAAAGTCTTTTGTGTGGCTCCAGAGATGAAATTCACCCTGCGAATACACTGGGGTGGGCTGGGGAGTTCTAACAGCTGCTGCATAGATTCTCCTCCAGCCTTGCTTCAGTTGCTCTTTGGGTGAAAGTCGTTCTCCTTTCTGCTGACGCAGCATCTTTGCCTTGATTTGCAGGTCCAGCTACAACACCAGCAACTACGACAGCGTCTACTACAGGGAAGCCTTTACCAAAGCCTACTGGTAAAGATCGCACTTGATAGCAAAGTGAAGGGAAAGGAGGAAGTGAAGTTGCCTGTGTGGCAGGCTTGAAGGTGGCAGAATTCAGGCTGCAAGTTGGAAGTGCCATTTTTGAATGCATCCCCCATTAGTGGGGGGGGGGGAGCGGACTTGCTAAAAGTATTTTGGGTTTTTAACCAAACCCTTTACATACTAGGGAGTACAGGAAAGTTAGGCTCCAACCCTTTGCCTGCCACTTTTCAGGATACTTTTAACATGAGAAAGGATTTAAAATGTTTTGATTCCCCTTCAAGCTGAAGTCCTGTGACCTATTCTCAGAACTAGGGATTGGGAAGAATTAAAATTTAGTTCACATTTAAAGGCAGTTGTATCAAATCCACACTTTTCAAAACAGTGTGAGAACCTAAACAGTGCGACCCTACAAAATTCACCTTTTTCTTAATTTTGCAGTGTAGTTTTCCAAGCAGTGTTTACAAAAATGTATATATTTGGGGAACGTGTGCATTAAAATGAACATATCAGTATGAATAGACATACAAATATATAAATCTCATCCTTTGCTGTGTTGTCCTAGGGTCCAAGATGTCAACTTTCGCCATCATCATGCTTGTTCTGCTCAGCCTTGTTCTCACTGGTATTCTTACGTGTATTGTCTGCTACAGAATACATGGAACTGGTGAGTGAGTTAGATTTCACTCAGAAAACAATGGCTTCTCTGATTTGACAGAGTGAAATGATATATGAAGAACTGAAGGGAGGGACTCTGCTGCATTAGTCCTCAGGACCAGGGTGGGTGGACCAGGGTGAAGGATTTAGGAACCCTATCTATGGGACTAGTGAACTGCAGGTAGTTCTGAGCATAACTTTGTACGTCCCTCCCGAAGCTATGTGCTTGGTGGAAAAGGACGACCATGCCAGACAGAAAGAGTGTTTATAGGCCGTTTTGCCTAAGAGCTGCACCAGTGCCCTCCTGCCACATACAGCACAGAGTTGCACAGCAGCTCTATGTGTTTTCCCCTTGTTGGGATTAGGGTATAAGATGCACTTCTATTGTTCATCTGATATTGCTTGTTACATTTTTAACAAAAGCTGTTTGCAGTTTTGAAATGATTGTACTTTTCTGGAGGAATGTTTGCTCATAAAGTTCTGCTGTTTGTTTTTTGTATTTCAGGTGACGGCTTTCCAATTTCATAGTAAGTGATTATCTGATTATCTAGGAGTTGTAGAACTGACATGTTTGGGCTAGCAGCATATTGGAAAGATGAATATGAATAAGTGAAAAGGACCTGAAATATAAATTCTACAGTGCATATGTGTTGTGGTAGGAGGAGGGTGAATGAGAAGTAGATCTCATCCGGAATGGGCAGATTCAGGGCGGGATTATACAAAAAGATGTGGTTAGGGCACTAGCAAAGCAGGGGTACCCAAAAAGTGACCATTTTGTTTGTGTGTGTGTTTTGGGAGGGGAATGACCTTTGATATTTTAAAGAAGAAGTATTGAGGTGGTCATGGGAAAAATCAGAACTTTGCTAGTCTTCCTTACACTCTACTTGTACTCTTCTTGATTTTTCTTTTCTCTTTTTTATTTTGAATTTATTTTGAACACCATAATCTTTTCAGTGCTCAGGGCCTCTGGCAGTCCTAATCCAGCCTCAGACAGATGTCACCAGTGGGCTCAGCAGATCCCCTGCTCTTGCAAAGGACATAAACTATTGGATCAGATATTTGGGCTAAAATCTAGGAACTCTTTAAAACAAGCGTAGACACTTCCAGCAAATCAGGCCTTGCTCAGTGGCTTGACAAGCTCCTTGATTCATGTGTTTTTTGGCAGTGGCATAAGTTCCGCTACCACTAGAAAAATAAAAGTGTGCAAAATGACAGCAAGGACCACTCAACTCCATACAGCAAGTGAGCCTCCTATCTCCTTAGAAAACATGGATAGAATAGTGGTATGTTGTGAGTGGAAAGTGGCCAAATGTTAATCTTTGCACTTGTTTAAAAGTTGAAGCATGGATTTCAGAAGCAGACTGTGCACATTGGAAAGGCTGAAACAGGACATAGGAAGCTGTGCAAAGAGACCATCTAACTGCAGAAATGCCAATCTGTCTTTGAAGTTCCAGCCCTCCAAAGTACTTCGTTTTCTTCCCTTACGCCTATTGCAAGCCCTTGGTCTATTGACCTGATTCTCACCTTTTCCTTTCTGTTTCAGCTTCTGTATTACCAGAGGCACAGATGAAGACAACGATGATGACAACACAGGTGGAAGTGATGGGGACAATCCACATGACCTAGGAAGAAACGACAGGTGTGCATGTTCGTATGAGTACGAGTTACTGAACGGCAGTGCTGACAACAGCCGCATCCTGGCACCTATACTAGGCCTTGAGGAAGAGGCGATAGAACTCAAGACAGTCAATATGTATGAGGCCCTGGTCAATGAGCCAGATTCTGACATTGAAGTGCTAGATGCCCCCCTGTGAGGCGCCTTCCTTTTTTGCATTGATGAAAGTCAGAGTGGTATAGTGGTTAAGAGCGGTAGACTTGTAATCTGGTGAACCAGGTTCGTGTCTCCTCTCCTCCACATGCAGCTTCTGGGTAACTTTGGGCTAGTCACACTTCTTTGAAGTCTCTCAGCCCCACTTACCTCACAGAGTATTTGTTGTGGAGGAGGAAGGGAAAGGAGAATGTTAGCCGCTTTGAGACTCCTTCGGGTACTGATAAAGCGGGATATCAAATCCAAACTCTTCTTCTTCTCTCCTCAACCCAGCCATCGTCAGGCTATTTTCCGTATTGTTTCTAGAGGTAAAATTGTGCCACCAATTGGGCAAAGAGGCCATACATCTTGACTTTCCGGGACACAGCCGGGATGCAATAAGAAAACGGACGCAAATTGAGAATTAGCAGTTAAAAAAAGCTCAACAACATTGCACAAAAATTGGCCAAAGCTCAAAATTGATTCAGTTTTTGAAAGATGGCAACCCTAGTTAAGTAGGGTGGAGTGTGGATCACAAAAGCAATGGCTTATGTTCAAGTGTGCCTCAGGAATGCATTGTCGGATCTCTGCCTCAGAACTGCCCTGTATAAGGTGGAGGATAATCAGATTTTTTATATGCTAGTGGTGGCGGCAGCAGCGGTGGTGGTGGTGGTGGTGGTAGTGGGTGCTGTGTTGTTGTTCTTGTTGTGGTTGTGGTTGTAGTTGTTGTTGTTGTTGTTAATAAATTTATTAGTGATATTTTCTTTGCCAAAGCAGTTCATGTTCATTTCATTCAGTATTGCTGGTCTGGAAGACAATCAGACTGGTGCCTGTGTTGCTTTTTTAAAGGTTTGTGTCATTTACATCAATGGTCCTCAACCTTTTTGAGTCCATGACTCCCTTGACCAACTACATTCTTTCTGCGGCTCCCCTGTGGAGCTCAGGATCCCAGTTATTTCACCCTTTGCCTGCAGAGCCAGCAGCCTCTCACCCCTCCCTTGTGGAGGGTTCCCTCAACCTCCTCTCCTTTCCCCTCTCCTTGGGAGTCCTCCAGGCAGCCGCTCCTACCGCCTCTAGTCTCTGAGCTGCCCCACCCCCGCCTCCAACCCAAAGAGAGGTGCCACTTCACACCGCCCAGTGGCGTAGCGTGGGGGGTGCAGGGGGGGCCGGCCGCACCGGGCGCAACATCTGGGGTTAGGGCAAATCCACGGGTTAGGGGGCGCAAATCCACAGGTTAGGGGGCGCAAATCCATGGGTTAGGGGGCGCAAATTACTTGCCTTGCCCCGGGTGCTGACAACCCACGCTACGCCGCTGACACCGCCCCACAAGGGCCTGAGAAGAGGATGCCCCCGGCCTTAGTGGCCCAATGGAGATTGGCCAAAGGTGAACATGAGGCCAGCAGCAATGGCAGCAATGGGCGCTGCTTGCCCTGCATGGCAGAAAGACTTCCCTTCAGCACTGGGCACTCAGCTTCGCACACAGCAAGTACAAGAAAGTCTAGTGCAGCACCTGCCTGAACTGGCTGGCTGGGCTCCCTCGCCCACTTGCTTGCTTATTCAGCTCCTGGCAGCCAGCACCCCCTGGCCAGCCCCAGAGGCACCATTCGCCTGGGGAGCTTGTAGAGGAAAGAGGGACGGGGGCCAGGCTTGCCCGCAGCACCCCTGACCATCATTCAAAGCACCCCAGGGTACCACGGCACACTCATTGAAAATCATTGATCCAAGCTATTTCATAATCCCCCCTTTGCTACACTTGGTGGGCGGGCTGTTATTCTCTTGCATTGCCGTCATTTATAGATCTTATATTGTAAAGAGGCAATGCATGAGTTCCACTTGGAGGAGGGAGGATTACAATTTTTCTATCTATCTATTTATGTGACAGAATGTTGGACTAGGACACTGGAGAGGCCACGGTTAAAATCCCTACCGGGCCTTGAAGCTCAAATGGGTGCCACAGGCCAGTCAAAGGCCCTCAGCCAAACCTACTTCACAGTACTGTGAGGATGAAACGGCATGAGGGTGAAGTGTGTACGTCGTCTTGAGCTCCTCGGAGAAAATATATGTAACATGAATGCAGAAAAAAAACACCAAAAAAATAAATAAAATTTGTTAAATTCACTGTTTGCCGTATTTATATTGTGGTTCCCTATGCCCTTAAATTTGACCAAACTGCGGGAGGCAGTGGAAGACAGGAGTGCCTGGCGTGCTCTGGTCAATGGGGTCACGAAGAGTCGGACATGACTAAACAACTAAACAACAACAACAACAACAACATGCCCTTAAACAACAAAGCTTTAGATATGCTAAAGAGAAATGCCTTTGCTCAGCCTGACAGGGCTCCCAACCCTGAACTCACAAGGGGGGGGACCCATCTCATTTTCCTTGTTTTGGGTTTCCTTAATGCCCTCTATTAGTTTTCCCTCCCTGAATTCTTTTGCAGTATTGCTGTCATCCAGCAATGGGCCCAAACATACTCTTGATTGTGCTATAGCTACCTTCCCCAACCTGCTACCCTTCTGATATCTTTGGGATACAACCCCCAGGTTGTATGACTGCACTCTGGATTCTGCCCATCTTGTCCCCCCTTTTTTTGCCTTCCTCCCCACCCCTTGATTTGCTGCCACCTAAGCAGTTTATGATCTGTTAGCTGTCAACCATCCCGTACCGTATTTGGCGGGAAACTCCCTTATCCCAGTGCCGTTTCCCACTGCTGTCCCGGATTGATGATGTCCCTTAAATTTCCCGAGTTTCAAAGGAAGCAGCTCCTCTCCCTCCCTCCCTGCCGGCCAGGGAGGCGAGAGGCTGCAACTGCGTTGCTTGGCTGCGTTGCTCACCCAATAAGGAGTCTAAGAATCGGCCACGTTGCCTGGGGACTCGCCTTTGCTCAGCGCTTCCCAGCGGAGAGGTGGCGGTGGTTTTCCTTGCTGCATCCCCTTTGCCGGTTTGTTGCGCTGTGGGAACCACCACTTGAGGCTTCATTTGGCTGCTGGTTGACTAAAATCCCTTATTTTGGCTGCGGGACCCTTATTTTCAAATCTGTAAGTTGACAGCTATGGTTAGCTCCTCCCTCCCCACGGTTGTATGAGGTGGATCACCCCCCCAAGTTGCTACACAAATTTGATGGTTCTGATTCTACACTTAGGGTGGCTGGGACTGTTTTCTGCTGCAACAACTAACAACCTTCCTTTGCCCGCCCCTGTGTCCTTTCCTTGCCTGTCTTGTCCTGCCTAAACATAGGAAGCCAACTGAATTAGGCAAATGGGAAACTGTCAGTCCAGTTTGGTCCACCACACTCAGTGCTATTTACTCTGACTGGCAGTTGCTCTCCAGAGTTTCAGGTAGGGCATCTTCCCCAGACCTAACTGGAGACACCAGGGATTTAACCAGGACACTTCTATATTCGGAACAGGTGTTCTCCCACTGCGTTGTGGCACTTGAGATTTCCTCTGCAGCAGTGACCACTAGCAGCATCTGAGGAGAAGTAGGATAAAGGATTGAGCAGGGGTCGGCAACCTTTTTCAGCCGTGGGCCATGTAAAAACACGCGGATTCCCGGACCATCCGCAGGCTGGATTGAGAAGGCGATTGGGCTGCATCCCAATCCCCTTAGGTTGCCTACCCCTGGGATAGAGCCTCAAGGAGTCTTGCAATGGGAAGAACCTAGAGGGGAGAAGTTTGGGCAGGGAAAAGGGTGTGGGAACTAAGTACCAGTCTCCCTCCTTATCCTGACATTAGCAGGATAAGGTGTTTGTTACCTGCTGCAGTTCCAGACGAGATGTGAGGGGAAGGGATAGCTTTCAGTCTTTCTGTTTTCTTCACTATTCTAGTTGAGGAGTGTTAAATTCCACCCCCACCCCCCGTCTCTTCCATGTGCGCGCACACACGCCATCATCAGGTGTGGAAGCTCTAAATATCCAATGTCCCCAGAGAAGAGATTCTCTTGCACAGAGACAGGTCGAAACTAGCCAAGGAAATGACCATTTGGCTCTCTGAGGCAAAATCCTGCTCCATTTGGGTAAAAAAAAGGCACAGAACAGCACCCTCCATTTGTAGGTTTCAAGGGACAGGGAGTCATGTATGGGAGAAGGTGCTGTCTGTCACCCAGAGATGAATGCCAGCAAAATAAACACTGGGCTTTGTTTTTAATACGGGCTTTAAATGTGACATGATATTCCCCCTTAAAGAACTTGAGCATCTACTTCACAAATAAGCAGCATGGTGATTGAACCGCAAGAGTTTGAACCACACCTATCATCCATGGATATTTGGCCATGCTGACTGGGGCTGATGGGATTTGGAGTCCAACAACTTCTGGAGGGCGCTACACTGACTACCTATGAGTAGATCAAACAGCAGGGTCTTGTGTCACCTTAGGAATCCAGCAACATCTGGACTGACTACCCCTTTCAATTATCAAGGCATATCTTATCCTTTAGCTTAATTTTTCACTTGCCGTGTGTGTGTTTTCTGTTCAGTAGTAAAAATGTAACAGTTGGGTTTGGAAGTCAAGTATTTAGGACACACAGGAGGAAAACCGTAATTGCATGATTTGTGAAACTCTGGCTTCCATTAAAAAAAAAAACTAAAAAAAAAACTTGGGTCAGGAACTGAGTAATGGAAGAATGGATAGCTGGTCTAGGAATAATCTTGCATTGGTCCACCCAGAGAGAAAGAGAAAGACACAAACAAACAAACAAACAAACAGGAGTGTGTGTTTTTGCAGGGTGCCCAAGTGTGGGTTTGAGACTCTATATACTGTTTTATGTGCACAGATGCTCTCTTATTCATTCATTCAGTTTTAAAACATTTTTAGACCAACAATCATCACACATTCTTGGGCAGTCAACAACAATATAAAGTATTGTTACAGAAGTTGGGTGCCACCCCCACTCTCTGCCAGCAGTAGCAAGATTCCACGGGGCAGGGGTGCCAACTCAAATAAAATATGGGGGGGGGACAGGTAAGCCCTGACCTGTATAATCGATCAAAAGATGCAGCATACACACCATTTGAATGGCAACACCCATCAAATTGAGGGGGCACTCTCAAATATTTTATTGGGGGGAGGTGAAGGGACCTCTGCCCCTAGGAGTTGGCTCCCAAGCCAGCGGGTTCCAGGCA